CCCCCCCCCCCCCACCCACTGGCAGTGGTGGGGCAAGCAAACAACGCAGCCGCAGCTTGCTTTGCTTCTTTGGCTGTGTTGCTGAACACCTGCTGTGGGCCCCAGGTCTTCTCACAACTGCTGGCTGGCCCCTTACCCCTCCTGCCCATAGCATTTGGGGGTGTCGCATTCTGCCTCTGGCCTCCCCTCACACGTTGCCCCTGCCTGTGATACTCAGACCTTCACAGTTCAGGAGCCAAATTAGCGATCAATATTGCCCAAAAGAGCCAGGGTAGTGTCAATTCATTGTTTCAATAACTCTCTATAGTTGGCGTGTATGGTGAGATACAGGTACTGGTAGCTGGGGTCTAGCACAGCTTAGATGTATAAAATTCTCTCAACAAAGTGACTGTCCAGGTTCCCCACATTAGGTTAATAACATAACAGGAAAAGCACCCGATTGCTTGATAACTTAGTTTGGTTAATAATTAAATTACAGTGTTTAAATATCATGTTCTGCAAAGGAGCCACATTAAAGAACCATTTGTGGCTCCAGGGGCGAGTAGATTACACTATTTGTCAAGCCCTGGGAATAGGCATGCGCAGCACATTTCATTAGGGTGTGCACCCAGGGGAATTTTATTTTTTATTTATTTTAAAGGTGAACATTTATTGAATACTCAATCATAAAGGACATTATTTTTATTCATCAAACAAACTAAGAAACCTAAAACTTAACTAAACTTAATTTTTTTTAAAATTAACAGCTAAACTTTACTTAAAAGAGAGTATCATGCGATTAAATTAAAATGCAAAGCCATTTTTTTTTAGACATTAAGGTATACGTGGGCACACCCCCTGTTCATGCCTATGGATATTGGCTGGCTTGTGCACGATCTTCCATGTCCTAATGACTTAACCAGCTAACCAAACAATGGGTAATTATAGAGGTGCAAATTGTTCTTATCGCCTCTTATAACTTGAACAATCTAATTAACTATTTTTTCTCTTTTTTTCCCCTTCCCCTAGCTCCTTTTTCCCCCCACCTTCCCTTATTTCTTCTTGGATCTGGATTTTTAATACTCCAGTCATCTGAGTTATTGGGCACCAAAATGGCAAATGAAATGCAATGTGGATAAATGTAAAGTAATATACATTGGAAAAAATAACCCCAAATACAATATGATGGGGGCTAACTTAGCTACAACTAATCTGAATTAATGGAGATGGCCTGTCTTGAAGAACTGGAAGGGACCTTAAAAGGTAATTGAGTTGAATCCAGTCCCCTGCCTTCATAGCAGGACCAAGTACCATCCCTAACAATTTTTGCCCCAAATGGCCTCCTCAAGGATTGAGCTCACAGTGCTGGGTTTAGCAGGCCGATGCTCAAACCACTGAGCTATCCCTCCCCCGCAGGAAAGATCTTGGAGTCATCATGGATAGTTCTCTGAAGATATCCATACAGTGTGCAGCAGCAGTCAAAAAAGCAAACAGGATTTGAGGACTCATTAAAGAAGGAATAGAGAATAAGATGGAGATTATCTTGTTGCCCTTATGTAAATCCATAGTACGCCCACATCTTGAATATTGTGTACAGATGTGGTCTCATCTCAAAAAGATATACTGGCATTAGAAAAGCTTTAGAGAAGGGCAACTAAAATGATTAGGGGTTTAGAACAGGTCCCATATGAGGAGAGATTGAAGAGAGTGGGGCTATGTCTACACTAGCACCCTTTTCCGGAAAAGGATGCTAATGAGACCAGTTGGAATTGCAAATGCTGCGGGGGATTTAAATATCCCCCGCGGTATTTGCATGAACATGGCTGCCGCTTTTTTCCGGCTCGGGGCTTTGCCGGAGAAAAGCGCCAGTCTAGATGGGATCTTTTGGAAAATAAAGCCTTTTCCGGAAGATCCCTTATTCCTGAATTTAAGAGGAATAAGGGATCTTCCGGAAAAGGCTTTATTTTCCGAAAGATCCCGTCTAGACTGGCACTTTTCTCCGACAAAGCCCCGAGCCGGAAAAAAGCAGCAGCCATGTTCATGCAAATACCGCGGGGGATATTTAAATCTCCCGCAGCATTTGCAATTCCGACTGGTCTCATTAGCATTCCTTTTCCGGAAAAGGGTGCCAATGTAGACACAGCCTAGGACTTTTCAGCTTAGAAAAGAGGAGACTCGGGGGATATGATAGAGGTCTATACAATCATGAGTGGTGTGGAAAAAGTGAATAAGGAAAAGTTATTTACTTGTTCCCATAATATAAGAACTAGGGGCCATCCAATGAAATTAATGGGCAGCAGGTTTAAAACAAAAGGAAGTTCTTCTTCACTCAGCGCACAGTCAACCTGTGGAACTCCTTGCCTGAGGAGGTTGTGAAGGCTAGGACTATAACAGGATTTGAAAGAGAACTAGATACATTCATGGAGATTAAGTCCATTAATGGCTATTAGCCAGGATGGGTAAGGAATGGTGTCCCTAGCCTCTGTTTGTTAGAGGATGGAGATGGATGGTAGGAGATAGATCTCTTGATCATTATCTGTTCGGTTCACTACCTCTGGGACACCTGGCATTAGCCACTATCAGCAGACAGAATACTGGGCTGGATGGACCTTTGGTCTCACCCAGTATGGCCATTCTTATGCACTTATGAAGAAGTGCCACGAAAGTACGACACCATCTACATGTTTTGTTAGTCTTCAAGATGCTTCTAGACTATTCATTGTTTTTTTAAGTTTTATGGAGTCTTTGACAGGTTAGACCAGGAGTAGGCAATAAAATGGTGGTGGCTCACCAGGATTAGCCCTTGATGCTATATTTACCTGCACTACCACAAGTAAGGGTGATCATAGCTCCCATTGGCTCTATGCCAAACAATCCTTTGACAATTACAGGTGACCCCTGCACTTACGACCTAATCGGTTCCTGGAGAACCGTTGTAAGTCGAGCTGTCTTAAGTCGAACCCTGATTTCCCATAGGCGCAATGTTACAAATGGCGGTTCTGTTCCTGGAAATCCATTTCATACCCTAAAAATACCAAAATTGACTATAGAAATGGAGGAAAACTAAACTAAACATTTTTGTACATTATTTGAACTAACTAAAAAGTGAAGACCGATGTGGCGGAGATGCATGCAGTTCAAGCAGCAGCTGCAGACTGGCAAGTCTGACTTTGTACGTTTCCTATTTTGGGATGATGCGTGGAGTGTACGTCATATACCGTCATAAATGCGAGCTGCAGATATAAATGAGGGGGCGGGGTTTAGAAGCTCTCACACATGAAAAAAATGGTTGTAAATGCAGGGAGTTGTAAGTCAGGGGTCGCCTGTAATAAGGCTTCACCGTTGGATGGAAATTTTGGATTTCTTCCTAAACTGTAATCTAACTCGGTCATTTCACACTGGCTCATGGACATTAACAGTGTTTAAATGCATAGTGACCTGGGCTAAATTTGAATTGATGAGCTAGAAATCAAGACTCCATTCTGTTTCCTCTTTTACTGATAACTTAGACACAGAAATGTCCATTTCATTTACTTTGTAGGTAAGTTTCTACCCCGGTTAGCTCAGCATTGTAGCATGCGGCATGAGTCGTTAAGGGAAATTGCTCTGAAAAATTCATCAGAAATCTCGTGACCTTCCCGCATCTGCTTTGAGAGAGAGAAACATGCTCCGACCCAATTATATTTCCCAGATTGTGCTGCACTGCCGGAAATTCACACTGTGAGCTCCTGAACACAGCTCTCTAAAGTGTGCCAGCTGACTGTCTTACAAGAAGGGGACATGCAGGCTGGGTCTGTATACATTACATGCACTTACATGGATTTAAACTAGTACTTAGCTCTACTAATGAGCACTGAGGCTGCCTGATCTGTATCCCACCTCCATTCACCCACTACACATACCCAAAATTGAGAGCCTCCAAAGTCGAACAAGTTGCATTCAAAGAACTAAACAGTCACACAAAATTTTGAAAAAACAATCCTTTGCTGGTTTTTATTAGCGCCAACTTTCAAACCCCCATACACAAGTTTCCCCTAAAATTCCAGGAACAATCATAAATGGGAGGGGGGGACGGCAGGGGTGGGGGCAGAAGGGGAGAGGAAGAGGAAAAAAGACAGAGAAGATCTTTGTTTGGTAACTGAAAATTGTGCCCATGTTATTTAATTAATCCCTGAATGTTAAGCATTGACCTACTGCTATTGAACATTGCATTCCAAATGGGCATTATGCTCTGCTCCATCTCTTGGGTTATAACAGAGCAGCGATGAGCAGCCTAGGCTAGTGAGTGGGCTATGTGAGTGCTCCTCCATCTCCATGAGCCACAAAATTTGCCGAAACCAAGATGGTCTCCCAGGACAGGGTATTTTTGCTGACTGTTTGCGTGCCTACAATTTGCGGGGTGATTGGATGCAGAGGGAGAACATGACTCACAGTCAATGTTGTGTACAAGCAGCATGCTCCTCATTTCACAGGCCCTGGCTTCACATGCATGGCGCTGTTGTAACAGCAGTAGGAAAAAACGACACGGACGGCAACGTCTCAGGCCACACACGGCCCTGATGGGCTGCAGGTTGCCCATCACAGAGCTAGAGCATCAGTGAGCTGCCTTAAGGCCCCCAAATGATTCAAGATGTTGTTTTTAAACCGACCTTTGCAAGGGAGAAAATTTTTTAAAAAGCTGCTTAGATGCTGCAACTGATACTTTGGCAGTCACGTAAGAAAAATCTATGCATTTGAATTTTTCCCTCCTCATCCATTCACCAGCAATGCATTTTTACACTGGGAAATTCAGGGTATAACCCCAGAGATGGACATATACAAAACAGTGAGCCAGAACCTCAAATCATTCGAATCACATTGGATCAATTTTTTTTAAAAGCACAGAGCACAGCAACCGTCAAGCAATTTTTAAGGCAAATTTATTTCTTCTCATGTATTCAGCATTGAGAATGAGATTTGCTTTTGGACCTGCTAAGCATCATTAGCACTACCGGACGTTTACGCTCAGGGAATTTAATCAAAGTTTAACTGGAGCCAGCTCAAGTTATGTAGGCCCAAGAATAGCCACAGCCAAAAACCACAATTCCTAGAGATCTCTCTCCTGGTGGTAATGGGAGACCATTTTGAACTTCATTCAAATGCAAACATACACAAAAACATAGACTTAATAGCAGGCCTGTTAGAGCAGCAAGGCTGACTAGGACAAGTGCAGAGCCAAACAGAAAGGTAACACATCAGCATCTGTTTGGGGACTGAGTTATTTGTGCAACTTTTGTAAAAAATAAGAACAGCTCCTATGGAAGAGGGAAGTTTCATTAAGTGGAATGGAAAATAAAAGTCAATTTTGGGAGAAGGGAAGAGACTTCTTAGGTGCACACAAATAAGCCATGTCTTCTCTCGTTTGCTTCATCACATTTTACTTGGGTGGTTGTGCTTTGCCCCTCCCTTCCTGATCCAGGCAGATGGTACCAGGCGGCTAGTGCATTTACTCATTCTGGGCATCATAATTAGCACCCCCTGCTTTCTTCAGCTCATTCTTGATGTACTCCTCATCCAGCTCTTTGTGGTCACTGATCACGAATTCTTTGGCAAAGTTCTAAAAGACAGAGAGAAAAGAGTAAACAGAAATGACCTTATCTGGGAACCAGGATCTGTTCAGCTGTGTAAACACTGGGAGGCTGTTTCCACTGGAACCTCCTTTTTTGGCCCAGGACACTTCAGGTTAATATAGATGCAGATTGCAACTCATTCGCTCCCACTTTGTCAATTTAGCCCTTTTTGGGGTAGGGACTATTTTACCACCCTGTGACAGGGCGTTCGCCCTGCACTGGCCCTTTAAGGGTAAACCCCAGCCTGGAGCAGGGCCTGGGAGTTTCGCCCCAGCTGAGGCTGCATTAGTTGATTAGGGCCCAGCTGGGAGCTATATAAGAGAATGGGCTACTGCTCCCAGAGAGAGCCTGGCTGCTGGGGGAGTAAGAGGCTCCCTGGAGCTAGGGCAGGGCTGGGGAGGCAAGGCAGGACTAGGGGAGCTCTGGCCAAGCAAACCCCCAGACTGCAGGGCCTGAAGAACGGCCCCCAGAAGAAACAACCACCCCCGGAAGGGGGGCTCAGAGACGGATGTGGGCACTGCCGGAGGGCAGTGTCCTGAAGGGAACGCCGTGGCCTGGAGGAAAGAGGGGAAACACCACCTGAGGGAAGGTACCCCACCAGCAGAAGGAGCTAATCCCTAGGACAGACGGCAGGGGGTGCTATGGTGGTGAGTGAACCCCCTCACACGCCCCTATGAATAATGGAATCCCAACTTCGGTTGATGCTTTTAAGTGCTATTGTAAGAGAGGGAAAGGTTGTTTTAGAGAGATGGGATTTTGGAAAAGGACTAGTTCTTACTCCAAGTGCAGTACAGGGAAGAGTTTTCACTGAAGCCATTAACGACATTGTGCATAACCATATCTAAAAGTTAAGGTTGTCCAAAGATGCAGACTACGAATGCCTGAAAGCCAGTATGACCGAAAAGAGAACACAAACCGGTTCCCTGGCAGAACAAACTTCTTGCAGATATTTTTGCAAGGACCCCTCCTTCTGTCCCCACTACCTTTTCCTCTACCCATCATGGCAAGAACTGGCAATTGTGCCCATTGTGCTATGTGGAGCTGTTTGCGAGTGGAAAAAGCATAAGCAGCACTTGTCATCACAAATAAATGCGAACCGGTATTTGAAAGTGATGTTTTAACTGGTATTTGAGACCATTAGCAAGAGGTCATCCTGATAAAATCATTTCCATGAGCTGTGTGGGAGGCTAATTTCCATATCACTGGGATGTGAAGTAAATAAAATCACATCCACTGACTAAAAGTTAATACTCCTCCCTCCCCCACTTAATTGCTTTACATTCAGACACTGGGCTCTGATACTGCCAGCTTCACCAAGGCTCCTTTAAACTACTGCTGGCATCATTCTGCTCTCATCGCAGGCTGGCCTAGGCCAATGCAAGAGAGAAGCTGTTTCCAATACATTCTGCAGATGATTTATGGGGAGCAAGAACCCTTGCCATTCAATCCAGGGCTGAGGAAGGAGGTATCAGTGGTTGAGGCACTAGCCTGGGACTTGGGAGACTAGGGCCAAGTCCCTGCTCTGCCACTGACCTCCTGCATCACCTTGGGCAAATCATTTAGCCTTTGGGCCTCTAGTCCATCTCTATTGCTGTACCTCACACAGATGCTGGGAGGATAAAAATCTATTGAACCCATGGTGTCCAACACGCTAGCCACTAGCCACACGTGGCAATTTGGCCAGTTGGCTATAGCAGTAGCTACATTATTTACATTTTCAGAAGAGTGTGGATAGTTCACTATAGCAGTAGGCACTAGAACTAGACTAAACAGGCCTTGAGTCTGAACTAGTCTCACAATCCCTAGATTCCAGAATGTTTGGATGTCTCTATTACAACACAGCATAAACTGTTCTTTGGGACACTGGCTGTTAAATATGCGCTGGCACAGAGATTCAGAAGAGCTGCAGAGCTATATGCAGCTCAGAGGCAAGTCAGTTGTGAAGCCGACGTGGGTTTCACACAAGAGATTCTTCCCCCTCCCCGAACAGTCTAGGAAAGAGGTTCCACAGCACCTGTGGGAAACTATTACTACTATACTGGAACAAGTCTACTGGCGGTGATTCAGCATTCTCTGATCACTAGTGAAATGCACTTGTGCAGGGATGGTATCCAGGTGGATTTGAACCTGGGATCTCTGAAGTGGAATATAGGAGCCTCTACCCTTTGAGCTAAAAGCCAGCTGGCTCCCAGCCCATGCTGTAGAGGTCTCTTGATCTTAACCGTTGCTGTTGTCTAGGTGCCACTTGCATTGCTCAGTAACCACACTAGGTGTGTGGGTTACGCATGCATGCACACACAAAGTGCCTCTTGCTTCCTATTTCCCCTTCACTCCCTAAATCGAACTTCCCACAGCTGAAAACATTTCATTTATCCTTTCCCCATTTCAGACACTAAGATCTATTACACTACAAAGGCAACTTCCCCTGCCTTTGAGATTTGCATTTACACATAAAAAGCTATGAATGGGACACATCCAGCCTGACTCAATTAGCATCATTAACACTGGTCCTACAATTGACAGGAAAATGCTTTTGCTGTTCTATATCCTCTGGATTCTGTAATTTCTACTCCAACTCATAGGATAAAGTGGGTTTTACCCTCCCACAAAAGCTTATGATATATTGGTTAGTTTAAGAGGACACAGGACTGCTCATAATCTATCAGACAATTAACCAAAAAGTTATGTTCTCATCCTCTGTCTGGCCCTGGATGCTTATTAGCAGCAACATTGTCAACAAAAAGTCTGATCTCCCAGCAGGACCACACCAAGATGTCAACAGTGCCAGGATTCCTTGTTAACAAAAGCCCCAAACCCCAATAGAAGAAGCCTAGAAAACAAGGCAAGGCTTTCCTGGGGAAGCAGTCATCTTGTTTGGGTCTAAACTGTTCTGGAACAGAACAGC